TCACCGTAGCACATACCCTCCCCAGTGTCTATCACCCAGCCATCCCATCCCTCCCACCCCCAACCACTCCAGTAACACTCAGTTTGTTTCCTGAGATTAAGAATTCCTCATATCAGTGAGGTCATGTGATACATGTCTTTCTCTGATTGACTTATTTCACTCAGCATAACACCCTCCAGTTCCATCCACGTCGTTGCAAATGGCAAGATCTCATTCCTTTTGATGGCTGCATAATATTCCGTTGTGTATATATACCACAACTTCTTTATCCATTCATCTGTCGATGGGCATCTTGGCTCTTTCCACAGTTTGGCTATTGTGGACATTGCTGCTATAAACATTGGGGTACATGTACCCCTTCGGGTCCCTACATTTGTATCTTTGTGGTAAATACCCAGTAGTGCAATTGCTGGATCGAACGGTAGCTCTAATTTCAACTGTTTGAGAAACCTCCATTCTTCTTCAATTTCTTTCATGAGGGTTCTGTAGTTCCTAGAGTATAGATCCTTTACCTCTTTGGTTGTGTTTTTTCTGAGGTATCTTACGGTTTTTGGTGCTATTGTAAATGGAATCGTTTCTCTAATTTCTCTTTCTACAGTTGCATTGTTAGTGTATAAGAAAGCAACTGATTTCTGTGGATTGATCTTGTATCCTGGCACATTACTGAATTGCTGTATGAGTTCTAGTAATTTGGGGGTGGAGTCTTTTGGGTTTTCCACATAAAGTATCATGTCGTCTGCGAAAAGAGAGAGTTTGACTTCTTCTTTGCCAATTTGAATACCTTTTATTTCTTTTTGTTGTCTGATTACTGTTGCTAGGACTTCTGGTACTATGTTGAACAACAGAGGTGAGAGTGGGCATCCTTGACAGGTTCCTGATCTTAAGGGAAAGGCTCTCATCTTTTCCCCATTGAGGATGATATTCGCTGTGGGTTTTTCATAGATGGCTTTTATGAACTTGAGGAATGTTCCCTCTATCCCTATGCTCTGAAGAGTTTTAATCAGGAAAGGATATTGTATTTTGTCAAATGCTTTTTATGCGTCAATTGAGAGGACCCTATGGTTCTTCTCCTTCCTCTTATTAATGTGTTCTATCACATTGATTGATTTGCAAATGTTGAACCACCCTTGCATCCTGGGGATAAATCCCACTTGGTCATGGTGCATGATCCTTTTAATGTATTGTTGGATCCTATTAGCTAGGATTTTGTTGAGGATTTTGGAATCCATATTCATCAGGGATGTTGGTCTGAAATTCTCCTTTTTGATGGAGTCTTTGCCTGGTTTGGGGATTAAGGTAATGCTGGCCTCATAGAATGAGTTTGGAAGTTTTCCTTCTGTTTCTGTTTTTTGAAACAGCTTCAGTAGAATAGGTATTATTTCTTCTTTGAATGTTTGGTAGAATTCCCCAGGAAATCCATCAGGCCCCGGACTCTTGTTTTTTGGGAGGTTTTTGATCACTGCTTCAATCTCATTACTGGTTATTGGCCTATTCAGGTTGTCAATTTCTTCCTGTTTCAGTCTTGGCAGCTTTATAGGTTTCCAGGAAGGCCTCCATTTCATCCAGATTGCTTAGTTTATTGGCATATAGTTGTTGATAATAATTTCCAGTAATTGTTTTCTATTTCCTTGGTGTTAGTCGTGATCTCTCCCCTTTCATTCATAATTTTATTAATTTGGGTCCTTTCTCTTTTCTTTTGGATAAGTCTGGCCAGTGGTTTATCGATCTTATTAATTCTTTCAGAGAACCAGCTTCTAGTTTCATTGATCTGATCTGATCAGAAACCAGGTGTTTCTGGTTTCTAATTCATTGATCTCTGCTCTAATCTTAATTATTTCTTTTCTAATGCGTGGCTTAGGCATCGTTTGTTGCTTTTTCTCTAGTTCTTTAAGGCGTAGAGTTAGTTGGTGAATTCGGGATTTTTCTATTTTTTTGAGAGAAGCTTGGATGGCTATGTATTTCCCCCTTAGGACTACCTTTGCAGTATCCCATAGGTTTTGGACTGATGTGTTTTCATTCTCATTGATTTCCATGAATTGTTTAAGTTCTTCTTTGATTTCCTGGTTGACCCAAACATTCTTGAGCAGAGTAGTCTTTAGCTTCCAAGTGTTTGAATTTCTGCCAGTTTTTTTTCTTGTGATTGAGTTCCAGTTTTAAAGCATCGTGGTCTGAGAATATGCAGGGAATAATCTCAATCTTTTGGTATCGGTTGAGACCTGATTTGTGACCCAGTATGTGGTCTGTTCTGGAAAAAGTTCCATGTGCGCTCAAGAAGAATGAGTATTCTGTTGTTTTAGGGTGGAATGTTCTGTAAATATCTATGAGGTCCATCAGGTCCAGTGTATCATTCAAAGCTCTTGTTTCCTTGTTGATTTTCTGCTTAGATGATCTGTCTATTGCTGAGAGTGGAGTATTGTGGTCTCCTACAATTAACGTATTGTTACCAATATAACTTTTTATTTTGGTTAACAGTTGGCTTATGTAGATGGCTGCTCCCATGTTGGGAGCATAGATATTTACAATTGTTAGATCTTCTTGTTGGATAGACGCTTTAAGCATGATATAGTGTCCTTCTGTGTCTCTAATTACAGACTTTAAAATCTAATTTGTCTGATATAAGAATTGCTACCCCAGCTTTCTTTTGAGGTCCGCTGGCATGGAAGATGGATCTCCATCCCTTCACTTTCAGTCTGGATGTATCTTTAGGTTCAAAATGAGTCTCTTGTAGACAGCATATGGATGGGTCCTGTCTTTTGATCCAGTCTGCAACCCTGTGCCGTTTTATGGGAGCATTTAGGCCATTCATGTTGAGAGTGATTATTGAAAGATATGATTTAATTGTCATCATGTTGCCTCTCAAGACGTTGTTTTTATAGATTATACCTGTAAATTTCTGTTGTATATGTCTCTTGGGGTCTTTCTCCTTTTATAGAACCCCCCTTAATATTTCTTGCAGGGCCGGCTTAGTGGTCACATATTCTTTCAGTTTCTGCCAGTCGTGGAAGCTCTGCATCTCTCCATCCATTCTAAATGACAGCCTTCCCGGATAACGTATTCTTGGCTGCATATTCTTCTCATTTAGTACCTTGAATATGTCTTGCCAGGCCTTTCTGGCTTGCCAGGTCTCTGTGGATAGGTCTGATGTTATTCTGATGTTCCTCCCTTTGTAGTAAGGAATGTCTTCCCCCTAACTGCCCTTAATGGTTTCCTTGGTTCTAAGATTTGCAACTTTTACTATTACATGCTGGCGTGCTGGCCTATTTTCCTTGATCTTGGGAGGGGTCCTCTCTGCCTCTAGGACGCGAATGTTTGTTTCATTCTCCAGATTAGGGAAGTTCTCAGCTACGATTTGCTTAAATACATCTTGTCCTCTCTCTCTCTCTCTCCACTCTCTCCAGGATTCCAATTATTCTGACATTGGAATGCTTCATGGTGTCACTTATTTCTCTAATTCTATTTTCATGGATTCTGAGTTGTTTTTCCCTGGCCTCCTCTTTTTTTTTAAGATTTTATTTATTTATTTGACAGTGAGAGAGAGAGACACAGCGAGAGAGGGAACACAAGCAGGGGGAGTGGGAGAGGGAGAAGCAGGCTTCCCGCCGAGCAGGGAGCCCGATGCGGGGCTCGATACCAGGACCCTGGGACCATGACCTGAGCCGAAGGCAGACGCATAACAACTGAGCAACCCAGGCGCCCCTCCCTGGCCTCCTCTTTTCCCTTTTTATCTATTATATTGTCTTCCAGGTCGCTTATCCGTTCTTCTGCCTCACTTACTCTAGCTGTTAGATTATCTAGATTGGATTGGATCTCATTGATAGCATTTTTAAGTTCTGCCAATTCAGCTTTCATTTCTGCCCTTAGAGACTCTATGTTGCCATTAACTGATTTCTCCATTCTAGCCATTGTCTTCGCAATTGCTAGCCTGAATTCCATCTCCGACATCTTGGTTATATCTGCATCCATTTGTAAATCTGAGGCATAAGTCATAATCTCTGAGTCTTTTCTAATTTGGAGCTTCCTCCTCCTAGTCATTCTGTTTTGTGTTTGAGGGAATGTATAGAGTCCAAATTATTGACCAGGACCCAAGCAAGATGCACCTGTTTTCTTGGGACCTTAGGGTTGCTGGCCTCTTGTTTTCCCAGCCTCTCTTCTGGGGGAGGGGCCTGCCGCACTGTTACTCAGGTAACCCTGTTTGGGTAGAGTTGCCCTGCCCCCCTGTGGCGGGGGATGGGCTCAGCGGGAATCAGTTTTGGGGGCTTTTGTTCTCTGGTGGCTTTCCCTGGTGGCTTTTGGCATCTCTTCCGGGAGTCAGAGCAGAGGAGACCATTTCCAACCCTCTGCCTCAGAGCAGAGAGATCGCAGTCTGTTCTTCAGTGAGCTCTCCAGGCCACACCGTCTCCGTTTCTGTCTGTGCTGCTATAACCTGCAGCCGCCTGGGTTGTGCGCCCCTCCGCAGCGCTCCCAGTCCTGCCTCCAGGTCGGGCACGTCTCTGCCGTTTGTGCTTCTAAAACCGCCAGCTGCTCCCAGTTCACGCGCGTGACCCCACCGCTCCGGGTTTCTGCCCCGGGGACTGCCCTAAAGTCCTTTCCCCGCCGCTACCAGTCTACGAGTCTGTGCCCCGTCCCCAGTGCGCGAGGCTGTCGCTCAATGGCAGTGTAGGATCCCCACGGACAGACTCCCTCCCGCTGCTGTTTATCCTCCGATATGTGCCCGCAGAATCAGGGCTCCCCACTTCGTACCTCAAAACCAACCGCCTGCGGTATTCTGTTTGTAGAGATCGAGATCTTCTTACATCTCAGGCTGGTTTCGTGGGTGCTCAGAGTGGTCTGGTAAGATACCCATCTCAATTCCGGGGACCAGTTGAAATAGGGTCCCCTACTCCTCCGCCATCTTTCCTCTCCCTGTACATGCCTAGTTCTTAATAACATTAGTACAGCGAGTCCCTCTTTCTTTTTTTAAAAAAAAAAAAGTCTTTATTTTCATGTACTTATTCTTCCAGGAGACCTTTAAAAACAACTTGTCAAGTCCTCACCATGAATACCATTGGAATTGCAGTTGGAATGGCACTGAATGCATAGATTGATTTTTGGAGAGCTATCATCTGTATAATCTCATACATGAATGTGGTATGTTTCTCCTTTTATTCAGGTCTTAAGTATTGTGTGTATCTGTTATACTTACTATCTTTAATATTTTTTCCTAGTTTCTGAAGGAAATAGGCAGATGTCCTAGGAACTGAGATTCTGTTTCGAAAAGTACAGAAGATGTCATCTGCGTAGACTAGATTCTTCAGTATAAAAGGTCATACAAAATGTATTTTTTTGGATATCGTGGTAACATTACTTCCACGTGGCCCTAGGAGTCTGCCTTATTTCTAGTGTTCCATATCCTTGTTTTGTATTAATTACAGAGATGATTTCTAATACTAGGGAAATTATGTAGTAAGCCATTTGTTTTTAGTGCTGCCAGCATCCCATCAATTCTTCTTTCCCATTTAGAAGTGCGTCCTCTATACTTAAGCTTCTGGGAACTCGGTGCCCATTGTATACAGGATATGTACCCATTGAAGACCTTCATGCCCTCCAATATAAGGCTAACTTGTTGTGTTCTCACTACAAAAGTTTAGAATCAGAGAGGTAAGAGTCCTGTTCTACCTGATGGTTTTGTTTCAATTTTAAGAGCACCTCTCCAAGAGGGAGCTAGAGAACATCCAGGATTCTGAGAGGGATTTGAACTTAGATCCTATGAGAAGCATCATAGGAATTAGGGCTGTTTAGATTGTGGGAGACAACACGTCCAAAATAAAGAGTTTGATAATCTGTTTTCAGATCTTTGATAGAGTCAGGAATAGTTGATTTTTGCTGCTTTTGAAGGTAGTTCTAGTTAATGGATAAACAGATTTAAGAACTGTCCACAAAGATGACAGTATTCTTGGAAGTGATACCTAATGGTTTTTCTGTGACCACTTGGAATGGAATTTGAGAATCTCCCTGCATTTTTTTTAAGATTTTATTTATTTATTTGACAGAGAGTGAGACAGCGTGAGAGAAAATACAAGCAGGGGGAGTGGGAGAGGGAGAAGCAGGCTTCCCGCCAAACAGGGAGCCTGATGCGGGGCTCGATCCCAGAACCCTGGGATCATGACCCGAGCCGAAGGCAGATGCTTAACAACTGAGCCATCCAGGTGCCCCGAGAATCTCCCTGCATTGTAATGAGAGGTTGGATTACATGCACTTAAAGGTCACATTTGTTCCTGAGATTCTGACTATCTCAATGAGGACAAATGAAACTGAGTATTATTGTGTGCCTACTTCACATGTTCCCATTTCATCATCACCACAACTTTCTGAGGCATCCCAGAGAGATAGAATAAATTTGTTAGGGTAACTTATCTAATTAATGGCAGAGCATACTTCTCCAGTATATCTTAATTTACAATATATCTCCTCTAGTATATCTTGATTCACAAGAGTAATTCCTTAAATTTGTATAGCACTTTATCATTTGGAAACCTTTCACAAACATGGTTTTATTTGACCCTTATAGAAATTGGGTGAATTTGGAAGAACAGATTTCATGTGTTTATTTTACAAATGGAAAAACATGGGTTTGAAAACTCTTTGAGTTTCTCTGGGGTAGGAGGGATTTGGGAGACCATTCAGTACAATCTCCATATTTCGCAGTTAAGGAAACTGAATACCAGAATTAAAAATCAGTGTTATTTTGTGGGTATTCATTGATTTGTGTGGGAGGGAGGGGAAGATCAGGCTAAATGATTTCCTGTGGGGGACAGAAGGGTTGTGTTGCTTTTATCCATCCTTTAGTATACACTTGATTAATGCCAACTCACCACATTAGATTAAATGGCATTTTAACAAACATTGATCAGAGGCACTAACGGTTCAAGGAGAAAACTAAGGCTTTAGGGAGCAAGTTGTGGAAGATACTCGGGGTCATGAGATCCTTCTTGGTAACCCTGAAAGCATTTAAAGTATTTCCTGCTCCTGGTTCAAGGGACACCTGGGAAAGCAGGGCCTGAGGGAATGGGTTATATTGTTAGTTTGCAATCAGTCTGGTATGGATGGGAATGAAACCTCGGCCCCTGCCACGATTCTGGGAGCCAAGTCACTCATGGGTCTGTGACATAGGCTCAGCATGATGGCTCCCTTGGATATAGCCTAGGTTGCAGATTTAGAACCTCAGGAATGGAAGGACCTTAAGAGCCTCATATCCAAGCCTGCTTATTTCAGTTTGATCCTAATTCAAGTTCTTTTAAGATATACCCCACAAATGGCCTTAAATTTATCCAGTGGGTCAGTACAATTAGTGATGGGGAAGTCCTTCCTAAGTCACCTTGTCTCTTTGAAGACTCACGTGCAGTACTGAGCTGAAATGTTCTTCTATAGCTTCAGCTTAATCAGCATATTTGTATTGTACCCCAAGTCAAAAATATTGCTTTATTGTTCTCTCTCCTGCATCTGCAGTTTCTTCTCTCTGCTGCCTTTTGAGCTACGACACGGTGCTGGGAGATGGGGATATGGAGACGAATTTAGACACAGTCCCTGCCCACAGGAGTTCTCAGTCTAGTGAGAGAGTTCGACACGTACACGGATAATTACAACAGTATGGTATGCTCTACAGTGGAGGTATGTACAAGATACTATGGGGTTCGGAAGAGAAATCATTTGATTGAGTATGGAGATGCCAGAGGCTGGAGGAACTGATGCTTCAGGGGATTCTTAAAAGAAGTAAAGCTTGACCAGGAAGAAAACAGGGAAGGACCTTTTAAGCAAAGGCATGGACATTGGAGATAGAATGATGAAATGGGGGGACTACGAGTAGTTCCTGAAATTGGGTTAGAAATGTAGGCTGATGATAGATCCTTATATAGTATTCCATGAAATGCGGATTCCATTTTGAGTGTTTCAGTAGGAGATGCATTTGATGGTCACTCTGGCAGTACTATAGAGTATGTTCTGGAAGATCTTTAAATCTGGACAGGGAGATTAGTGAGAAGGCTACTGTAGTAAGTAAGATGATAAATGATCTGAGGCCAGAAGGAGTGGGAGTGGAGAAGAGGACCTGACTTCTTAGAGGCTATACAAACACGGACCTAATAGAGGGGCCAGTTAAGGCTCTCAGACTTGGGCAAATGTGCATTCGCCTACCTCCATCCCTGGCCTTCATGAGAAATCCCCTCATGTTTTCTAGATGGGCATTGCTCCTGGTCTCTTTTGGACCAGGGCTTGACTGGACCGTGTTTTGCAGGTTTCTCTTGGGGTGCAGCTGTATAGGAAATGTTGATTCTCAGACATCTGAACAGCTGCAGACCTCTCATAGGATTACTTAGTTCCTGGTCCTTCTCATCAGTAGCTGCCCTCCCTCATGACCACATGTCGCCCAAAGTCAGAGCAGAGGCTCTCCTTATCTAAAACCCACTCGGGGAAGAGGTGGCCCTCGTTGTTACTGTCTCAGTTCTGTTTTGCTTAGGGACTTGACAGTGTTTATGGTTACACCTCCCAGTAAAACATGTTCAGTAATCAAAAATCTGTAGATGCAGTATTCATTTCCTCTTTCCTCAAAGCAAGAGGAACATGTCCTTTAGAAAATTCTCCACCTAGGGCTCAGAGTAGTGACCCTGGGGATTCAGAGAATGGATTTCTGTGACTAGAACGATTAACAGGAGATTATAGTTAAGTAAACCTTAGGTATTTTCAGTGGACCCTGTGTAAGTAGCCATCCTAGAGGGCACTAAGGGGAAGAAGGGGTGGGAGGGGAAGCTCCGAGTAGGACAGCAGAGCAGGACAGTAAGAGTTTGGGCCTTGGACTAAATAGCCTAGGCTCAGATCTGCTTTTAGATTCACCAGTGTGGTGTCAAGCATGGTTTTTCACCTCTCTGGGGCTTTCCTTTCACTTATGTAAAATAGGGGTAATAATCTTCTTTTGCAGTGGTTTGGGGGGTGGTAATAGCAATGATTTTTAAGGATTTAATGGGATTGTTCATGTAAATTGCTTAGAACGAGTCGGAAGTATGTCAAATGCTGTATCAACTATAGTTGCTGCTGATAATGATGTTGACTGTGATTAAAAGAAGAATTAAAAGAAGATAGTTAACTAGAGGTGCTTATATTTTGCATGGTCAATGAAACTCATGGGGTTCGAGGAAGAAAAGAAAATGAACCAACGTGAAGGTTTTCAATGGTATGCTAGTATGAAGTCAGTTCTCTGCCTTCTTTTTCTTCTCTGCCAAATGGCTTGGGAAACCAGATGAATTTTGTCCATGCCCTGATCACTAATCTATTGCCTTTGCTCTTATTTCCAAATAGAAACCCGTTGAAAAGTTGTGTTACACCTGAATAAAGCTTATCCTAAAAATGTAGAAAAATGCTTTGGAGTTGGTCAAAACTGGACTTGAAACCTGACTCAACTGTTTACTAGCTGTGTGATCTAAGGCATGTTACTTAACCTCATTGAACCTCAGTTGCTTCATCTAATATCATAATTAATTTGCAGGGTTTCTATGAGGACATTTGTCAAGTGTGTGTCATAAGCACTCTATCAATCATAGCTATTATTGTTAGTTCTTGGGATGCTCACCACGTGACAGAGACAACAGCAGGCCCTGGTGGCTGGGAGGACGGCATGGATCCAACCTCAACCTGGAGTTGTGCTCTTCTGAAGAAATCCTACTCGGATGGATATAATACAACCTGCTAAGTGTCCTAGCACTTATCAGGTTGTATTATCATTGTCCGGGTCTATGGCTCTCGTCTACCAGACTCTAAATTCCTTACAGGCAAGGACAGTGCCTTACTCATCTTTGTATTCGGTGCCTAATCCCGTGCACATTGTAGGCCTCATTAAATGTTTGTTGAATGAAAACCTGAATCATCAACAGACATTAATTGGGCGCCTGCTCTGTGATCTCCATGGGCTCAGCTTTTCCCCGCCAGTTGCCTACAACGTCCAAGCTGTCTTCAGTACGCTTTCTCCCGAAGCTTACTCCTATCTTCTGACCCTTTTGCTGAGGACTTTTCTGTGTAGTGCAAGCATAGCAAATATATTCACTTCATCTCAAGTACCATCTCCAGCCGATTGGGAGTACCTGCCTTGATTCTGTTTTATAAAAAGGATTCCGAAGCCAGCTCTCAGGGCAGTGTGAAAGAGCGTTAACGACTCATCAGTGATGTTTGCCGAGGGTGGGAGAAGGGGCCGTAACAGCACAAGGGCCACATCTGGGTCATATTTGGTACTATGTTTTCCGTGAACTGCTCTGTCTCTATGCCTGCATTTTAGTCTTGGCTACTTGCAGATGTTGCATGGCTGCCGCTGCCACCCCAGTTGCTGCTGGTTGCTCCTTGGGTAGGACCACAGTGATCACTGATCAGAAACTTCATCCTCACAGTCCAGGGTTTGCTCCTGTGGCTGGTATTCACAGTTTCCCCTTTCAGCTTTACCTCAGCTATCCCCTTACCTACTACACTGACAGGTAGGCCTCCCCTTTCCGTTCACCACCCAACAGGCTCACATTTCTTTTCTTATTTCCGAATGATTAATTGTTCTTGTTCCGTGAGAAGCCTTCTTTCTGTTAGAAGACGTGACAGCTAGAATACAAGTTAAACGATTCCATCAGGGCGCTTCAGTGAGTCATATAAGCTTCCCCTTTACCGTGGGAGAAAATTGGCAGACTTCGGGGCGGTAAGCACTGAGAAGGGAGGTGTTGTAGATGTGGGAGAGAAAGACGATAGCAGATGGAATCAGATCCTGGGAACCGATGTAGGCTGGGAGGGTGAAACCTCTGGCTCCAGAATGGGGGTGCAGGGATAGCCTTGGTTGAAAGGAGTTACCTCCTTGCGGGAACACAGGGATTCAGAGTTAGGAGGAGGAGCTGAGAAGGGGGTTGAAGATTTGTAATTGTCGAGGTGACTGATGGGGAGAGGAAGCCGACCAGGGACAGGATTACAGAGACAAACCAGAGTCTACGGAATATTCGGGCCAAAAGGCTGGAGTGGGGCCTTTTGGCATGTTAAAGTGGGGTACTATTATATTAAATGATACGTGAGATGTGATATGACTCAGTTAAAGCGAGAAACTAGCTTGAAACTCAGGGAATTGTAAAGTGGTCTTAGGCCACTGTCACAAGTAAATTTGATTGCCTGGGCCTGACCTTTATTGATTGAGGAGTGGACAGCTAGCAAGAGAAGGGTTATGCAGAAATGACTTTGAAAATCCAGACTCTCTGTGGAAGGCAGTGTAGGTCCAAAGTGAGCTCAAAGTCTGTGCCTAAAAAGAGGACTGGGCGTGATCAAGATGGATGTTGAGTAGTTGGAAACTTGGAATAATAGGACCTGTGGTCGGAGAGTGGATTTTGAAGCCTTGAGATTTCAAAACCGGAGCGGGCAAGATACTTGTGAAGCTGGGATGTCAGATGGTCCGTTACCTACATACTGAAGTGATCCAGGGTTACAGCGAAAGCTGGACTGGGAACGAGCACTGTGGGCCAGCTAGAATTAAGGCTTCAGTGCCTGAGGAATGGTTAGAGGTTGGCTCACGGCGGCTGTGCAGATGCAAAAGAGGAAAGGATGTAGTGGGTTAGTAGTAGGAGCCGCAGAAGAGTGGCAGGGAGTCTTCGAAGTTACAGAAACTATGATTTGCACATTGCACTGCGGTGTCGGTTTGCAGAACGCCCAGCAGAAACGATCCCCTCGTTTACTGAGCGCCTGGTCTGTCCCCGGCACCTTGCTCTGTGCTCTGCCATTTACCCCATCTGGGTCTGTCACATACCGGGTGTGAGAGAATGAGCAGCAGTCCCAAGCAAGGACAGCTAGGGGAGCTGCTGGCCCTCAGAACTGAGGGGATGCCATGGCCATCTCAGCAGACTGGGCAGCTTGAAGTGGCGTAAAAAAGTTTCCTTAGGATCAAAAAATTTCCCTTGACCTTGACCTAACTCTGTTACATGGTACAAGCTCGTGTTGGCTGTTCCATAATGTACTCTCGCTTCTGAGCCTCTGAGTTGAGGAGTATGGGCTGGTACTGTCCTTAAAAAAAAATTAAAAAAAATAAAACAGGCACAGCACTTTCAAAAACGCACATATTGATTGACTAGAACAAGACAGTCCAGTTACCTAATTGAGCTTTTAAGATAAAGGATAGACGAGAGAAGCTCGCATCGATGGGTGGTGAAAAACAAGACCACTTTGCAAAAGCCACTCTGAGGTCAGGATCCATCCAGTTTAGTGGACATATTGTAGATACCTGCTGTGCTGTTGGGAAGGACTGGAAATTGACGCAGAGAGATGTCCCTTGGGACCCGGAAGGTCAAGTTTAGGAGAAGAGAGTCTCTGTGAACCCTGCGACATTGCATGTAGTCATTTTTCTTTGGTTATAGTCTTCACATGATTCAGTATTTCACTAAAGGTTTAGAGCCACTGTGATAGAGTGACCAGGCCCTCAGACAGCCCATCCCCTCCTGTGGGGGCTGCTTTATATTTATTCCTCAGGAGAACCTGGTAGAAGACTTCGTGTGAGGGAGAAGAAAAGGCAAGAAGCAGAGAGTGACTCCAGCCTGTCGTCATCTCAGCTTCACAAGGCATGACTCAGCAGAGGGAGGGATCATCCTCTGGAGAGTCTCCAGACCCAGGTTGCTCCTTTCAGTTGCATGCTTAGACCTCTCAGCTACTTTTTCTGTTCAGAAATCATACTGTATGTGCATATGTGAACTGTCACTTCCCATAAAGAGTACTCCACATTCCCAGTTAAAAAAAAAAAAAAATCCCTCAAAGAAGGTATAAGGCTCGCTGTGTTAGGTTTCCAGTAGTCAAAAATTGCTGGATCCCCAATGCTGGAATATAGGCCACCAGAGAGGAGTTTGGGTTTCAGCAACAAAGGCTCCCAGCTTCATGGAAGGAAGGCAGTCAGCTGACTTGAAAGTAACCCCTATCCCTGCACTTCACATTATTCCTTCTTCCTTCAGCTCCTTGACTCAGATAAGACCACTGACAACAGCAAACCAAAGCCATACCTTCTCCTTCCACTGGCACTTCTCTGGCCTGCGTAGCTGCTGTTAGGAATCACTCTCTTTCATTAGCACTTCCTTCCTCCCATCTCTTAAGACCCAGAGAGTCATGAATGCTAGAGTTGGGGTCGAATTTGTCCTACTTGCCTCTGTGGTTGGGGAATACTAACGTTAATCAGCCCGATACCCACTTCCTCCTTATACCATGACAGTTCCTGGAGAAGCTGTAGCCAAGTCCAGCAACCCTGCGGACCCCAGCCCCAGGACTTACTCCTGAGGTCTCAGCTGATTACAAAATACTAGTAGGAGGGCTTGCCCCATCCCAGCCCCCCTTCTGAGTTAGCCATCAGAGATCAGGACTTGTCTTAGGGCATATGTTGCATAAGAACAGATTATCTCAGGGGTTAATAGTGAACAGTATCAGGAGTCCAGGTTACCTTTTATCTCTCTTGGGGATGGGCAGAATAGGGCAAGTGGAAAGTCTTGTGCCTTTAAAATATATTCCCAGTGATTCCTCAGGACACCCTGGGTCACACCATCTGGTAACTTATCCCGGGTCTTGCCTCTTCTTCAGAGTTTTTCTAGTGCACATCTTGCTCTCACTAATCACCTTTTATTCCCTGCCAGACCCTGGTGGGTTTCAGTGGGTGTGGTTTTGTTCTGTTTTTTTTCTTTTCCCTTCCTCAGGCCATCTGTAACAGTCATCATCTGGGAGGAGCCTTGTTGTGAATGAAGCCTCAGTGAGTGAGTGGAGTGACCTCTGAATATAGGAGGGAAGGAGGCCATGAAATCCTATAATGGAGTAACTAAAATTTGACATTTTAGTAGATACTGGACCTAGAAGCCTACATGAAGGAAGTTAAACAAACCTGAGAGATCTTGGATGTGTGTTGAGTGAAGACAGGAGTGAATTCCTTATTGCCCTTAGTAATGGAGGAAGAGAGGGGAGAAAAGTGAGGGTCCTTTATGTCCCTGGAGGAGGCCCTGAGGCTTGCTTCTTAAACCAGTGACTTTTAAGTTGCAGTGTACTACTTCTGTTGCTGTTTGAGAGTCGCTGTTCCAAGCCCTCTTCTCAGGTACAGCTGCCTTTGTAGAGATTCCTCTTGACCCCTATTGAGAAACAACCCAGAACGAGGTTTGCAGCTTAGAACTCTCTGGATCAGTGACAGTTTTAGAGGGGCCGAGGACAGAGAAGGTAGCACAAGTAGTACCAAATAGCTCAGTTTTTTATATATAGGATGGATGGGGTAGAGGCGGAGAGCACAGTGGTTCCAGGCAACTCCAAACACCTGGCAAGGTGTAAGGAAACAGTACACTGAAAGGTCAACCCTTAGACCTATTATTTGTCAATCCCCAGAGCATGATAGAATATCTAAAAGTTATAAAGATTCTTTTCTAGAAGAGATTTAGAAGAGGGGAACTCCAATTATGTAATATGAGCATTACAGCTTTTAAAAACATCTGTTCCCTACGTAGGTCATGGAGATTGATACTCGTATCAGCCTGTGGCTGACTAGGCCAGTATTAACTTCGAGGTTTCATGCTCTTGGAGAGATCCTGCCACTCTCTTGCTTTGACAGGTGTTCATCTGCAGTATGAGTCCAGTACTTGAAGGAACAAGAGGACAGCAGGCATCCAGGGGACAGCAGTGTAGTCTTCGAAGTGAAGATGGCAACAGAAAAGATCATGGAGTTGGCTGGATTGGGCTGGGCTTGTTTGTTGTTTCAGAATTTAAAAAATACTTTTTTTCTTGTTGATAAAAGTAACAGATGATCACTGTTGAAAAATCAAAGGTATAAATTAAAAAGTAAAGAACACCTATAATCTTATAACCCACAAAACAACTCAACATCTGAGTGTGTTTCCTTTTGCCCCTTTAAAAAAGAATGTCTGTAACACAGTTTTTTCAAGTTTTCATTTTAATTCCAGTTAGTAAACATAGTGTTCTGTTCATTTCAGGTGTACAATTTAAAAACAAAATTGACATCATATTGTATATGTTGTTCTCCCATCTTTTTTTCGTTTGAAAATAACATATTTCCATGTTACTAGCGTTCTTTGAAAACACAGTATTGTTACATAATATTTCATACGGATCTAACAAAATTTAGGTAGATGATTACATGCTGCTGGACATTTGCATATTACCAATTTTGCCTATAAAATGTAATAAACTTCATTGTACATTAATCGTTGTGTATATTTCTAATTATTTCTTTGCACTAAATTTCTAGAATGGGAATTACTGAGTTTGATGAGAGCATTATTAGGGTATCTGAAAAGTACTGTTGAATTGTCCTCAGTATAGTTGTAAAAATTACATTCCCATCAGTGGTGTATAAATGTTCATATTTCTCCACACATTCATCAGAATATGGCCTTTCTCTCTTTTTGTAAATGTCTGCTCATTTAATAGGTACAAATATACATCTGTTCTATTAGAGATTTGTATTTGTAATTTACATACAGTAAAAGTCAGTCGTGATTTATAGTTCTATGGTTTTTTAAAAAGATTTTATTTGAGAGTGCGCACACGCACGCATGGGGGGAGGGGCAGGGGGAGCAGCAGGCACAGGGAGAATCAGGCTCCCCACTGAGCAGGGAGCCCGATGTAGGCCTTGATCCCAGGCCCCTGAGATCATGACCTGAGCCGAAGGTAGACACTTAACCAACTGAGCCACCCAGGCCCCCTGTTCTATGGGTTTTGGACAAGTATAGTCATGTATACTACTTAGGTACCGTTAGAAAACAGTTTTATCACTAATAATTTCAATTGTTCTTTTTGTTGTAAACCACTTTCCCCATTCCCAATCCCTGAAAACTGCTGATTTGTTCTCCATCCCTATGGTTTTTCCCTTTCAAGAGGTCCTATGATTGGAATCACACAATATGTAGATATTTTGGTCTGGTTTCTTTCACTTGGTGAAATGCGCTTAAGAATCATCCATGTTGGGGGGTGGAGCAAGATGGCGGAGGAGTAAGAGACCTGAATTTCGTCTGGTCCCAGGAATTCAGCTAGATAGGGATCAAACCATTCTGAACACCTACAAACTCAACAGGAGATCGAAAAAAAGAACAGCAGGAACTGTCTGATCAGAAAGGCGGCCACTTTCTGGAAGGTAGGACGTGGGGAGAAGTGAATCCGAGGCGTTATTCAGGAAGATAGACGGCGGGACAGGGGGCCTCCATCAGCCACTACCGGCAAGTGCTAGAGCTGCAGGGCACAAAATCGGAACTTTTAAAAGTCGGCTCCGCTGAGGGATGTCGCTCCAGTGGCTAAGCGGGGGTGGAACCCTCGCTGGACAGTGTGGTCTCAGGACCCTCAGGGTCACAGAAAGACCTGGGGTGCCTGAGTGTGGCAGGGCTCCCAGGTATCGGAGCGGGGAAGTGGACTGCAGAGACAGAGCCGAGGCGCAGGCTGTCAGGTCGGGGTTGCCATAAACTGTGATCTGCGGCACAGTCGGGCCCCTGCTCTTCCAGCAGGGACCCAACAAGGGCCAGATCCGGGGAGACTCCCCTTCCTCCCCCGGGAGGAGTGGTGCGAGTGCGTACCACAGGAATCTGCTGAGTTTGGAGACGCCACACGGGGTCGGGTGCCAGAGATAGAAATGCTCGGTCACAGGCCGGGTGAGCACGGAGTGCGGCTGGAGACCGGAGAGAGGGGAGTGATTGACTGCTTTTCTCTGGGGGCTCACTGAGGATTGGGGCCCCGAGTTCTCAGCTCCTCTGGGGCGGAGCTTGGGAGGCTGCCATTTTCACTCTCATCCTCCAAAGCTGTACGCAAAGCTTGCAGGAAAGCTCTGGAGAGCAAACCTGAGCAGATTACTTAGCCCGGACCCCCAGACCCAGCAAGGTTGGGGCAATTCCGCATCCAGCAAAGACATTTGGGAACCACGGCAACAGGCCCCTCCCCCAGAAGATCAGCAAGAACAGCCACCCAAGGCCAAGTTTACCAATCAATAAGAACGGCAGAACTCCAGCACTAGGGGAATACAGCACATAGAATTCATGGCTTTTTTCCCCCCTAGTTCTTTAGTCTTTCAAAGTTCATTTTTTTAATTTTTTTGAATTTTTCATTTTCCCTTTTTCAACCATATTATCAATCCCCTTTTTTAAAAATCTTGTTTATTTTTCATTTTTAGAGTCATATTCTATCCCTTCATAGTAGTTAACCTTATTTTTGGTACATATACAAGTGTTCTCTCTTTAAAATTTTGGGATACAGTTTCTTCTAACAGACCAAAATATACCCTAAATCTCTAGTGTATGGCTTTGTTCTAGTCTCCTGCCTGTTCACATTCTTTCCCTTTTTTTTAAATTTTTCTTTCTTTTTTCAAACAACTTATCACCTCCTTTTATAAAATCTTTTATAATTTTCATCTTTACAGTCATATTCCATCCCTTCATCGTATTTACCCTTATTTTTGTACATATATAAGCTTTTCTTTCTTTAAAATTTTGGGAGGCAGTTTCTTCTAACAGACCAGAATACGCCAAAAATCTAGTGTGTGGCACTGATCTATTCACCAGCCTGATCATATCTGATCATATTCTTTTTTTTTTAAAATCTTTTTCTTTTTCTTTTCTTCTTTCCTTCCCTTTCTTTTCCCCTGGTTTTAGGTCTCTTCTGATTTGTTTAGTGTATATTTTTCTGGGGTCATTGTTACCCTGTTAGCATTTTGTTCTCTCATCCATCTGTTCTCCTCTGGACAAAATGACAAGATGGAAAAAAATCACCTCAAGAAAAAGAACAAGAGGCAGTACTGACTGCCAGGCACCTAATCAATACAGACATTAGTAAGATGTCGGAACTAGAGTTCAGAATGGTGATTATAAAGATACTAGCTGGGCTTGAAAAAAAACAAAGAAGATATTAGAGAAACACTTTCTAGAGAAATAAAGGAACTAAAATCTAACCAAGTTGAAATCAAAAAGGCTATTAGTGAGGTGCAATAAAAAATGGAGGCTCTAACTGCTAGGATAAATGAGGCAGAAGAGAGAATTAGTGATATAGATGACCAAATGATGGAAAATAAGGAAGCTGAGAAAAAGATAAACAACTACTGGATCACGAGGGCAGAATTTGAGAGATAAATGATACCATAAGATGAAACAACATTAGAATAATTGGGATCCCAGAAGAAGAAGAAAGAGAGGGGCAGAAGGTATATTGGAATAAATTATAGCAGGAAACTTCCCTAATTTGGGGAAGGAAACAGGTATCAAAATCCCGGAGGCAAAGAGAACCCCCTCAAAATTAATAAAAATAGGTCACCCCAACATCTAATAGTAAAACTAACGAGTCTCAGAGACAATGAGAAAATCCTGAAAGCAGCTCGGGACAAGAGATCTGTAACCTACAATGGTAGAAACATTAGATTGGCAACAGACCTATCCACAGAGACCTGGCAGGCCAGAAAGGACTGGCATGATATATTCAGAGCACTAAATTAGGAAAATATGCAGCCAAGAATGCTATATCCAGCTAGGCTGTCATTGAAAATAGGAGAGATAAAAAGCTTCCAGGACAAACAAAAACTAAAGGAATTTGCAAACACGAAACCAGCCCTACAAGAAATATTGAAAGGGGGTCCTCTAAGCAAAGAGAAAGCCTAAAAGTAACATAGACCAGAAAGGAACACAGACAATATACAGTAACAGTCACCTTACTGGCAATACAATGGCACTAAATTCATATCTTGCAATAGTTACCCTGAATGTAAATGGGCTAAATGCCCCAATCAAAACACAGAGTATCAGATTGGATAAGAAAACAAGACCCATAGATATGCTGTCTGCAAGAGACTCATTTTAGACCCAAAGACACCCCCAGATTGAAAGTGAGGGGGTGGAAAACCATTTACCATGCTAATGGACACCAAAAGAAAGCTGGGATGGCAATCTTTATATCAGACAAATCATATTTTAAACCAAAGACTATAATGAGAAATGAGGAAGGACACTATATCATACTTAAAGGGTCTATCCAACAAGAAGATTAACAATTGTAAATATCTATGCCCCTAACATGGGAGCAGCCAATTATATAAGGCAATTAACAACAAAAGCAAAGAAACACATCGACAACAATACAATAATAGTGGGGGACTTTAACACCCCCCTCGCTGAAATGGACAGATCTAAGCAAAAGATCAACAAGGAAATAAAGACTTTAAATGACACAGGGGACCAAATGGACTTCATAAATATATTCAGAACATTCCATCCCAAAGCAACAGAATACACATTCTTCTCTAATGCCCATGGAACATTCTCCAGAATAGATCACATCCTAGGTCAGAAATCAGGTCTCAACTGGTACCAAAAGATTGGGATCATTCCCTGAATATTTTTGGACCACAGTGCTTTGAAGCTAGAACTCAGTCACAAGAGGAAAGTTGGAAAGAACTCAAAGACATGGAGGTTAAAGAGTATCCTACTAAAGAATGAATGGGTCAACCAGGAAACAAATGAAAATGAAAACACAACTGTACAAAATCTTTGGGATGCAGCAAAGGCAGTCCTAAGAGGAAAGTACATAGCAATATAAGCCTTTCTCAAGGAACAAGAAAGGTCTCAAATACACAACCTAACCCTACACCTAAAGGAGCTGGAGAAAGAAGAGCAAATAAAGCCTAAACCCAGCAGGAGAAGAGAAATAATAAAGATCAGAGCAGAAATCAATGAAATAGAAACCAAAAGAACAGTAGAACAGATCAACGAAACTAGGAGCTGGTTCTCTGAAAGAAGTAATAAGATTGATAAACCCCTGGCCAGACTTATCAAAAAGAAAAGAGAAATGACCCAAATAAATAAAATCATGAGTGAAAGAGGAGAGAAATACAAACAACTATAAGAACATATTATGAGCAACTATATGCCAGCGAATTAGATAATCTGGAAGAAATGGATACATTCCTAGAGATGTATCAACTACCAAAACTGAACCAGGAAGAAATAGAAAAGCTGAACAGACCTATAACCACTAAGGAAATTGAAGCAGTCATCAAAAATCTCCCAACAAACAAGAGCCCAGGGCCAGATGGCTTTCCAGGGGAATTCTACCAAACATTTAAAGAAGAATTAATACCTATTCTTCTGAGACTCTTCCAAAAAATAGAAATGGAAGGAAAACTTCCAAACTCATTTTATGAGGCCAGCATTACCTTGATCCCAAAACTAAAGACCCC